AAAGCCCAGCTGAGGGAGCTGAATATCACGGCTGCCAAGGTGAAGTTAACTTTACTGGGGGGCGGGTGTTCTCTCCACCCCACGCCCGGTCGCCTGCTTGTCAAGAATGTCTGCAAATCACGTTTGGGAACTTGCATCCTGGCTCGTGAGCACGTGTCAGAGCCACCGGCCTGTTGTGCAGGGGGTGGGCTTGCAGGATTGGGGGGTGTCAGCGGGGCTTCCTAGCCCCTGCGCTGTGGGCTCGGAAGGGGAGGCCTGCTGCAGTGGAGTAGGGAAGTGGGCAGAGACAGAGGGTCTCTGAGGCTTGCTTCTCTCTTGACTTGGCAGTGCGTCTGCGCCCTGCACAGCGTCACCTTCGCTCCTCACCTGGTTGTAGTGTTCACTCTTCCACTTTCTCCAGCAGTTGTACAGTGGGCCTGGTGTACAGATGATCGGAAGTTAAGTTTCCCAGATTCCTGTCTTTGGCTCAGAAGCTGCTCTGTATTTGCACAGACAGGGAGTTTGCAGAGAACAGCCAACCTCATTTTGGGTTGCAAGCAAGTTTGTGTCCTGTAGTGCAGTGTTAGGCTTGCATCCTTTGGCAAGTTCACGGACTTGTGTGTGTCAGATCTGCCCCGCGAGAGGAAGATGGACGGTGGGGTTCTACCGGCCAAGGACAAAGAGCTGGAAGATGATTTTTTAAAGGACCTCTTAGGACAGAGGTGTCTAGTGCACATGACAGTGTTCGCGTTGAGTGTTTCACTAGGGTTGTACTTGAATGGAAAGAATGGAGGGTATGAATTGAAAATAATGTTGGTTTTTTTTTTCTTTAGGAAATTGAAGTTGGTGGTGGTCGGAAAGCTATTATCATCTTTGTTCCCGTTCCTCAGCTGAAATCTTTCCAGAAAATCCAAGTCCGGCTAGTCCGTGAATTGGAGAAAAAGTTCAGTGGGAAGCATGTTGTTTTTATCGCTCAGGTATCTGTTGTACTGTTGAATGTTTTATTGTGGGAATTTTTAAAAATCACCATGTTTGAGGGGGGAAAAAAAATCACTTTGATTTTGTGCTTGCAATATATCAAAAAGATGAAGTACAGTTTTGGTGTTTAATGTAAAAAGTCTTTTTATGCCCATAACGGCAGAAATGTAGTGGGTTGTTTACAGAGAAATCAAACTAGATGTGTGCTTGGTCTGAGCCGAGGTTTTTCTGCTTGCGATCCACACTGGAAGTGCGTCAGTTGTGGACTTCAGGAGGCGAGCAGAGGCCAAGGAATATAAGTTCAGATCTGGCCTCGGTGCTAACAGGTCTATGGGAATGAAGGGCCAGACTGATGAGGAATTCAGTAGTGTTCTGGCATGGTAGGCATGTTTACTCCACTAGGCAGCGGGCCTGACAGTGTGGTAGGTGTGCAGGCTTCAGGGGATCAGTAGGAGCTACTGAGAAATCAGGAGTCATCAGAGGATTTCTCAGCTTGTTTGCTCTGGGTTGGTTGACTTTCACACACTTTGAATTTATTTTGTTACTGCCTTTTTTTTTTTTTGGCTTTTAAAGCATTTTGATAGTTTTTAGCTTTCTGCCACCTTAAGGTTTTTCTTTTTTTTCCATGATAATTTTTACCTTACAGAGGAGAATTCTGCCTAAGCCAACTCGAAAAAGCCGTACAAAAAATAAGCAAAAGCGTCCCAGGAGGTGAGTATTTCAGCATCAAAAAAAGTGTACTGTAGGGGCATCTGGATGGCTCAGTGGGTTAAGCATCTGACTCTTGGGTCTCCGCTCAGGTCATGAATTCAGGCCCTGTGTTGGGCCCACTTTAGCCTGTTGGGCTCCCTGCTGGGTGTGGAGCCTGCTTTTAAAAAAGAAAACAAAGTGTGTTGTAGACCATTTACTACTAACTTGATTTGCATGATTTTTTTGTAGTAAGAATTTCAGTAGGTTTCTGAAATTAAACAGTGATAGTTTAGGAAAGCTGTTCACATGGGAATTTTTACTGAGTAAAAATTGTTGTGTTCTCTAATTATGTATAAATTATTAAAATTCTGGAGGTAAGAACTACATGTATTTACGTAGGTAGTATAAAAATAGGTCACTGGTATCTCAAAAGGTGAGACTCTTTCCTCCGGTTCTTTGGGCAAAGGATAGGAACAGTGAGGGGATGATTCGTGTAGTGCTGAGGGATTAAACGCACCAGATGTAGTACAGTGTGCTGGGAGGTGTCTTTTACTTTTCATTTTTGCTGTGAATTAAGGCTAAGAAATTAGGTGGATTTTCCTGTTGCTGATGTTACAGGTTGAAAGTGTTCCTGCAGTTGTAGATGCCAATGGACAATGTTCTTTAAGCTTGATTAACTTACAGTTTATCTGAATAACTCAGATATTGAGCGTTGTTGTTTCCTTGATCTGGGCGTTTCGGTGTTTTGTGGAAGTGTGGTTTCACAGAGTTGGATTAGTGGATCCCTGCAGGCCCTGCCCTGGGGACCAGCTTGGGAAAAAATATTCTAGCGTCTCTAACTGCCAGATAGGTAACAAGCTTATCCAGTCTGGACTTTGTATTACTTGTCCTAAAGGGATAAGGAAAAGTGATCCACGGCTTGGAAAACTGCTATTTCAGCTAGTGCTGGTAATGCTGGGATTTTAAAAACTCAGTCTTGTTTGTAAAACCACTAGGAGTTCGTGATGGGACTCTGGTGCTGTGGCCAGATGAGTGTTGGGGGAGACTGGAAGGACAGGTGCCAGAGTTTCTGGAACTTGAGACGTACAGTTCAGTACTTTGAACCTCTTTTTTTTTTTTTTAAGATTTTTTGTTTATTTGACAGCGAGAGAGGGAACACAGGCAGGGGGAGTGGGAAAGGGAGAAGCAGGCTTCCTGCGGAGCAGGGAGCCCGATGTAGGGCTCGATCCCAGGACCCCGGGATCATGACCTGAGCTGAAGGCAGATGCCCAACAGAGCCACCCAGGCACCCCTACTTTGAACCTGTTTTATGGGCAGTTGGAGTAACATAAGAATTTAGGGAATTTTTGGTATTCTGGATAGTTTGTGAGACACCAAATATAGGAGATAACTAAGCGCATCTAGTCTGTTAGAGCCCGAGTTTGTACTTCAAGTATGAAAACAAACCCTGGCTTTGCATCCAGTGGACTCGCCCATCCAAGCCCCTCATCCCAAACTTGTGTTTTCCACATTTTCTCAGGTGATGATGTCACTGGGTTCCTGGTGACCTAGTCTCCACATTGGAGGCCTTCTGTTCACGTAGGCCAAGCTCTGGGCGGCAGGCATAGCGGTTCTGCCACTTCCCACTGCCTGCAAACCTCTTTTCCTTCGTCAGTACTTCGCTTTCTCCTACATAGGTTAGATTCTGAGATTTACTTGTTTGGGTTTCTAGACTGTAGCAAGGTTTCTGTTACTTTTCCTTTGAGGCATTCAGTTCTCTGGCTGGTGATTATTAGAGTTGCATTGCTGTGGCTCCCCCTTGTAAAAGACGGTGTTGGAATCTGAGAGAAGATGCTAAGGCTAGCTTTGATTCCATTCGGATTTGTTTTAAAGGAGACGACAAATTCCGTATTTGTGTGCCTTCCTAGTAATTTAATTAATGGGTAGCAGTGATCAGTCAGGCCATCTGTGTCATTTGCTTTCTGGAAGGTGATGGAGGCTTTAGGAAGTGGATTTCCCTTGAGCTTATTCTATGTGGCCGTGGAACAGAAGACTTTTGCAGGCATTCGAGAGCCCCTAGAAAGTGTGTGGTGTGTGTAGGAACTGCTGGATCTAAAATGCAAAGGAGTGGAGTGTAGTATCCCATCTGCTGAGGGTAAAACGACCTGGGTGAGTTCCCTACTATAAGGTCGCTCTGTAAACACTGGAAATAACCACCTCTTCACTCTCTCATTCTTGGCATCTTGGGGTACACGGCAGATACCCCATAGTTTGGAATTTGTTGAATCTTGCTGTTGTCAGGCAGCCAGATAGAGATAGGTTGTGAACTTGAAGTGCCACCAGGAGAGGAGTGAGGTCACAGTAACAGTTTGTGTGATGGGGTGAAAATGGGGGCCCAGGCAGGGCTGCATCGCAGAGCTGGTGATAGAGCAGTGCCTCCCTCCTCCTAGAGAGTGAGAAGGAATCTTAGAGGTGTTTTGGAGGCCATGGAGAGCTCTTGAAGGATCTTTTCCTAATAGGTTGGTGATCACATAAGTTTTAGATTAATTTGACAGCATTGGAGAGGGATGGTTTTGGAGATGAGCGAGTAGTAAAGGGGCTCCTGTAGCAAGTTGGTGGAGAAATCGTGAGTGAAGATAAACCTGAAGAAGTGCGTGAAAGTGAAAGACCTCATTAATCTCCCCTTTCCTGGAGATGATCACCTGGAATGGCTTGGTGTGTGTGTGGTTTGTAAGGTTTCACATTTAATATACCCTAAGCTTTTGAAATAAACAGGATGCTTGTTACCCTGTCTAGTTTGGCAGTGGCTCTGTTATGATCCATTAAATGTAAATAGCCTGTTTGAAAACTGGTGTTAACTTGGTTTCAGAAACCTGGGGTTTGCTGTTGATGTTTTTGACTTTTGAGGGGCTCCCAGGAGGGCAGGCCTTCCCTGATGTCTTACTTTTGTCACTGTATTCTTTCAGCCGCACTTTGACAGCCGTGCACGACGCGATCCTGGAGGACTTGGTTTTCCCAAGTGAAATTGTGGGCAAGAGAATCCGTGTGAAACTGGATGG